GCGTCGTGTTTCCACACAATTTCTCGTTTTCCCAATTTCCACTCGTGTTGATATAACTGTATATCAACACGGAAAATGTTTTATATTTGTTAAATAACGCTCGGCTGCGCCTCGCGTTATATATCTGATAAAACACTCCTACTCGTGTTTTAAATAGTACATCAACATCTTTCAAGTTCACCTTATCACAACCCGCACACTTGAAAATCTACGTATCTACATACCCACCTGATTGTGTCTTAAAATTATATGGTACATCTTACCCTTTTTGCAACGAACAAAAATATGCAAGTTGAAGGGTTTTGTAGATGGAAATTTTCGAGTGTAAATGCTGTACATTTTACCGGGGCGTAAGCCTGGGGCGAGGGTACTAAATCCGCCGGACTAGTTACCCCCGGGGAAAGGAAAGCATTAGCGAAATCTAAATTAAGTTCATCAATTATCGCGGGCGCTTGGGTTACCGTGTGTGGGTGGTCATCCTCACTGATCTCAAATATAGCGGACTGTCATGAACAGCGAACACCGATTGGTCCATTTTAAAATTTGCATTATAACGATTGCATGACGATAGTGAATTAGTAAACGTTTCTTGAAAAAATATTTTATTTTTGCAAGATTTTTTAAATTTCAAAAGCTTTTTGAGAATAAAGGCGAAATAATTGCTAAAAGAAGGGAGCAAAGACGCCGACGCAAATTTTTTTTCCGTAGACAGTCGGACTCCTCATTGATAGTCGGACGCATCATTGATCCGCATCCAGGCCTCTGCGCGTTATCGATGGATCTCTTCATACCCTGCGTAACCCACTCTTGCACCATATATCCATCACTCCACGTTGTTCGTCTACGACCACGTGTAGAAAGATGAACGATTTGATTCGCGAAGCCATAGACCCATAGTCACATAGTGAATCTACAAACTTGTTTTTCTGGTCCCAAAAGTACTCAAGAACTGCTATTGCGAGTTAAAACTATATATCATCCCAATTGAAGAGAATTAGGCCTGTTTCATACGTCGAATTTGATTCAGATTCAAAGCGACCATCAATTAAGACCACTTTCCACAAATAGAAGTATTGCCGAATACCCGTCCACTAGTAATACCAGATCTTATTGCCTCGTACACAAACTAATTACTAAGACAATATTACGAATTGATGGTATTGCTATGCTATATAATATAATTTTTTTTCTCCCAGCGACGCTAATTAATCATAATCTGTCAAACACCAATGTCCGGTTGTGAGGAATATATTTACATATTAGCTACACCACATTTGAGCTCTCTATACGACTTATACATGAGAATTTAATTAATCTATTAATGCTAACTAACTGTTGTCTTAATCTCAAAATAATTACTTGACTGCGTATCCACGAATTTGATCTAATACTAATCTAACTGTATGCCTCGTCCTCAAAATAACTACTTGACTGCGTATCCGCGTATCCACTAGAATATAGAGCTACCTTTAATACTATGACAATTTAATGTATTAATGCTAAGTCACTGACTCACTGTATGCCTCGTAGCTACCTTTACCACCATGATATTTTAATCTATTAATCTATTTATTATTAATCTATTGAGAATAAATTATATGTATTAATACATCGTATCCATGATGTTTGAAAGGCATAGCTTAAAAAGTGGACGGGTATTCTGCAATCGCTCCGGAAGATATTGCATTGTTTTTCAGAATTATGGAATCGAAAACAATGAAACTTACAAACAGTTACAAAAGTAAAGAAAAGCAAGTGAGAATGGCGAATATAACTTAATAAAATATGTTAGATGTCATCACCACACAAAATATGAAGCTACAATGTGTGCTGCTCAGATTTTGGCATCTCAACCACGTCCAAGCAATACAATCAGACTGTTTTGAAATCAACAATTGCGTGCGCAAGACACACTGGGAAGGCGCATCTAATAAGAAGAGTATCCGCTGAATATTTTGTTTAAGGGCGCGGGTCAATGATGCGTCCGACTATCAATGAGGAGTCCGACTGTCTACGGAAAACAAATTTGCGGCAGCGACATCACATTTGAAAGTAAAAAGGCAGGAAGATATGCAAATTTTGACCTAATATTTGCGGTTCTGGCTGGGGTTCTAAGGGGATTTCAATAAGATTATTCAGGTTTCTCGATCTATGTTTTTGAGTTATCTTAGTGTCAACAGAGGTGGTGGATATAACAGGAATATGCTTTGGTTCCGTATTTACTCGATAGTTATGGTGTAGCACGTGTGTTACGTTTCCGGTACATTCTGTGTGTGTCGTGACACGAAATTTAAATAGACTTGCCAGCCCGGTGGGCGGCGTTTCCGGCCGTAACGGGAAAAATAATTCGGGCTTTTTTCTACATGACTGTGAGGTCCCTCGGCAGTTCGATTGATTGGTGAAGGTAGATCAATTAATGGTAGATTTCCCAACCAATTTGGTGGTAGCGATACTATTTTTGATCCAATTTTATGGGCTTTGATTTTCTAAACATTAGACAAAGTGTTCGAAGGAACATTAGTATCAGTCACGACCAGTTGCGTTTGATTATAAAATTTATTATTATTTTATTAGAGAATTATAGACCTATATCTTTACTACCCATAGTGTCCAAAGTCTTGGAACGATGCGTACTTAACAACATTAAATGCCATCTCCACCAGCGAGTCCACAGTAGTCAACATGGGTTTTTCACGGGAAAGTCATGCACAACCAACCTTATCGAAGCACTAGATAACATCGGCTCCCTCCTGGATAGTGGTAATCAAATAGACGTGATCTATTTAGACATGTCTAAAGCCTTCGATAAAGTTAATTATGAGCTGCTGCTTTCCAAACTTAGCAAGCTTGGATTTGGAGGCGGCCTACTACAATGGTTCCGGTCCTACTTGTCTAATCGGCGACAGCGCGTTACCGCCCTCGGTGCTACATCTAACACCTTACCTGTAAGCTCTGGGGTACCCCAAGGCTCCATACTAGGTCCCATATTATTCCTCTTATATGTTTATGACCTACCCGGTCTCGTCAAATCCAGTCAAGTCTCTATGTTCGCAGATGATACGAAAATATTTAAGTCTATCGCATCAATAAACGATACGAAATTA